ATTTATTAGACTCCAACTTTTTATCCTTGCCTTGACCATGTTTTCCTCAGTAGCAAAGGGAGAAAGATTATGATTGTGGCTTGGGAGAGTAGCTCATGAGAGAGACGTTAGAAGTAAAATTGCCTTAGGCTCTGCTAACTTGTGTCTGTTCTCCATAGTCTTACCTTTACAAACAAATGTGCATGAACTGAGATCCTACTACATGCCTAACCTTCTGCTAAACAAAATGAAGAATATAAAAGTCTGACACAGAGTTTTCCCTCAGAGAGACTACATTCATATAGTGCAGCCCTTACATCCAGTAAGAGTACAAAGAAGGAGGAAGTTAGAACAGAGTTGCCCAGTGCAAAGACAAAATGAAAGTTGACATGGGACCTTGAGAGAGGAGTAAAATATTGACCTCTGAGATGGAATCTAGGGAGAAAGGAGTTTGATGGCATTTTAGTCACAACTTTACATCAATATTCTTTATCAGGAACATCCTTAGAGCCACACATTAAAAGTGAATCTTGATGGCTGAAAGATGGTAGCTGATTTTTCTACTTTAATTATTAGAATAGAACTCTGTGCTGGCCATTCCCTTTGAATTTGGCTTCTGTCATCAAATACCTCTTTCAGGAGAAGAGGCATCCCTCTTCACGGTCCTGGCCTTTGGTGTAGGTAGCATATAGCCTGAACAGAGGACTGCACACTAGAGAAAACAAGAGGCCTTTACTTTTATAAGGCTGATATTGAAGGCACTGGGAATTCTGTTCTCATCTCTATTTGGGTGTTCACAACTGCAGAGTTAAGGGCTGAAGTGTTGCTGAGGATATGGCATTTTCACAGGTCATAATTCTGCCTGGCCTTTTTTGTCTATGTGGTCCTACTTAGCTGAGTTGGTTATGCAATATCAATGACATTAAGTCCTTGGAGTTAATTCTTACATGGGCCAGTTAACATCAATTGTTTTAATACTGCTGTATATTTAGCCTTGTTCTAGGGTTAGAGAGAAAGAGAGAGAGAAAGAAATTTAGGGCATGGTCCCTGACTGCACAATGCTCACAGCCCAGTGTCAAGAGATCCATAAATAGTTAAACAATGTAAGAATTGTCATAAGGCAAAATCCTTGTTCAGTTAAAGATATTTACTGAATGATTATGTGCCAGTCATTCTGCTAGGTTCTGGAGATTTAAAGATCAGTAAGACATGGTCTTTGCCCTCAAAATGCTCATAGTTTAGTTAGAAATACAGAGACATAAATGGAAACATTAAATATAATGAAGTAAATGTATTGTTAAAGTAATTCCTGTGGTGACATTGTAGCCCAAATTGTGTTTTTGATGCATGATTTGGTAGCAGAGTAGAGAACAGATTTTAAAAGGACAATCCTTCAGGCAGATAGACCAGTTAATGAGTGTTTTCATAATCCAGAGAGATAGGAAAGAGAGAGGGAGAGGGAGACAGAGGAAACTTGGTTTATTGAATAAAAGAGAAGAAGGGGTCTAAGATTATTCTAAGGATTATGGCTCTTGTAACTCGATAGATGCTGGATAAGTAAAAGGTCCGGGAGTATGGTGTTTTGTTTGGGACATATTCATTTTGAGATGTCTGTGAGACATTCAAATGGGAAACCTCAGCTGGAAGTTGGACATATAGATTTAATATCTGAGGAGAGGACAGGCCAGGACATAGAGACGTGAAAGTCATCAGGAAATGAGTGGTAATTGAAGCCATGAAAGTGGATGATGTTACTTAGCTCGAGGATGCTGAATAAAAAGAGAAGATATAGACCTAGGGAAATGAACATTTAAAGGATGTGTACAGCTAAAAGAAGCCATGCAAGAGACTCAACATAAATATACATATAGATCAAAAGAGAATTAAGAAAGAGTTGTGGCTTAGAAGCCAAGGCAAGAGAATGTTTCAAAAAGATGGAAGTGGTCAGACTGTGTCCAAGGCAGCAGAGAACTCCTGCACGATTTAGCAACATGATGGTCACTTGTCATCTTTGCCAAAACAGTTTCAGTGAGGTTGTGAGAGTATACACACCACTTTAGAATGCATTGAAGAATGGATATAAAGTGAGGAAAAGGAAACAATCTGTGCAAACAACTACTGTGAGAAGTTTATTTAAGAAGAGGAGGGGAGTGACAAAGAGCTAGAATAAGATGCATAGACAAGAGAAGAATTATTTTGGAGATTGGAGAGACTTGATAACAAAGATCTAACTAAGAGTGGAGGACAGCATGATGATCTAGGAGTGAAAGAGAATGATTAATGAAAGAAGATCCTGAGAGAGATAAAAGGGATTAAGAGCATGGGAACTCATCTTGAAAAACAGGAAAGGCAGCTGTGTTGAAAAGTAAGAATGATGCAGCTATAGATAAGATTGCATGTGTTGGGAGGAGACAATGGATGAAATTGAGTTGCTTCCCACCCAATAACCTCAATTTTCTCTGAGATTTAAGATGTAAAACCCTCTGCTGAGAAAGATGAGGGTGGGAGATCAGGAGAGAAGAAGCTTTAGCAGAGTTGTGAAGGTGCTGAACGGCCACCATGGGGATAGGAGAAGGTACTAATCAGGGGTGTGCAAAAAGAGTCTGGAGCAAAAGATTTTAGGCTGGAGATCATAAATTTCTAGTTTCGACATTCCAAATAGATCCTGGTATTTTTTAATAGGATCATTCAGTAGTTTGGATAGTAAAAAAGAAAATGGATTGTGGACTTGATCTGGGATTAACGCCTTGCTAGGTTGGTGCAGCAGAAGAATGGTGAATAAGGAAGTTGAGGGTTCTTGTGTTAGAGCAGTTAATTTGACCATTTAACCTAGGCTGTGTAGGGGAGGAAGTAAGAAGGAGGAAGGTGCTAAGTCAGATCAGGAGAAATGGAGACATTTAGAAATTTAAGGTCTCTGGGAGTGTATGGTGAATTTGCAGTGAAGCGATTATAATGTTAGAGAAAGAAGACCATTTGAAGAGTCAGGAATTGCTGAAGTTTGGCAGAAAGTATACATTTGAAAAGTCCTGGAATAAGGAAGAAGTGATTTGGCTCAGATTGTCAGGAAAGGTGAATGCTGTGAGCTGCTGATCTGAAAAGGCTTTGGAAAAGTGCAAAACTTTGCTTTCATTCTATAACATTTCACACGTTTTATAAATGAAATTATCTTCAACTCTTCAGTCAGTCTCCAAAACTGGTCAATTCCATCTCTGTCTTTCACTTGAAATTCTAATATTCCTCCCATACCAAGTTCAGAGCTTATTTCTCATTACCTTGACTCTTGCAACAACAGAGTGACCAACTATCCTGTTTGCCCTGTACTGTCATGGTTTTAGGACTGAAAATTCTACATCCCAGGAAATCCTTAGTCCTAGGCAAACCTAGACTGTCACCCTACAAACTCCCAACTAATTTGGACCTCCTGTCTTTAGTCTCCCATCTTTCCAATCCATCTTCCACACTGTTGTGGGAGTGATATTTCTACAACACAAGTATGGTAATATCACACCTCTTCCCAGAATCCTTCAGTGATTCCCTAGAAAACCCTCCATGATCTGATTGCACCTACCTTTTTAGTCACTTTTCCCTTCCACTATCTTCTCCCATTCTCACCTGCCATTGCACCTTCCCCACCATTTCACTGTGTTCTTCAGCTGGTCTAGAACACTTATTATTCCTTTCCATAGGCCATTCATTTTTATATGTTGGGACCTTTGAATTCTATTCATTCACCTTTGGAATTCCTTTTCCATCCTTTCTTCCCCTACACTCTGCCCATCCTTACAACTGTTCATTGAAAATGGACTTAAGCTACAAGTTGACCTTCCTATCTTCCTCTGCTGTACAGGATTCATTTCTACTTCTAAAGAAACTTCTTTGTTATCTTTTTCATGGCATGTTTAAACATATATTTTAGTTAGTTATTCTTATATCTGTCTTTTCTAAATAATTATAAAGTTCTTGAGGACAACAGTCATGTGTTATTCTTCTGGGAAATTTTCCACCACACTCCACCGTCCTCAGCAATTAGCATATTGGGTAAACACAGAGCAGAATGTCCTTTTGCTGGATGAAACTGTGAATTGCTAAATCCTAGATGAATCGTAGTGATAATACAGTGTAGGTTTTCCTGAAGAGATTGGACTTAACCACAGTTTTGAAAAGGTGCTAGGATTTAAATACAATAGTGTATAATTCAGGCAAAATAAGGTTAACGTTATCTCTTCCCCAGCCACTATCTTTGTTTTTCTCTCCACACCTGTCCCTACAGGAACCAGTAAGAAAATGTAGTTGGCTTGGCACAAGTGCCATGTTGTCTGGCTCAAGGTGCTCTGTCTCTCAGAATTTAAAGACTTTATCTTTCCTTTTTCTCCAAAAGCCCCCTGGGTACATAGTTGTGTATTTTTAGTTGTGAGTCCTTTAGTTTGTGGAGTCTCTTAGAATTTAATAGAAGGATCCTGACATGGTATACAGAGCATTGAATAAGAGGCCTAAACACCTGAATTCTGGTCCTAGTTCCACCATATTCTAACCCTGTGACCTTGAACAGGGAACTGGATTGTTCTTGAATGCATCTCTTTGTCAACTAAACACTATGGTAGGGATATTACTGGTATCTGTTCCATTTACCTCACAGGGATGATGCTATGCTACTGTGAGGATTTATCACCTATGCCATTCACCTCAGTTCTTGCCACGCACTGATTGTGATATTGGAGATTTTTTAAAATATTTCCCTCACCAGACCAGAAGTTTCTCGGGGACAGAGATTATGAGAGACAATTCTATATTCTTCCAGCACAGAGTTCACAGAATGGTGCTTATTAAATATAGGTTGAATGAATGATGGCCTCCAAGGCAGTGAGAGACCTCAAAAAGCCATGGAAAAAAGTAAATAGACAAGAGTCATTTTCCCTTTATGCTTACTCTCCATATGCGGAGAGCTTTGCGAACTACAGATGCAGACTTCTCACTCTCATTCCAGGTTCCATGCATAGGTGGGTAGAAATTCATCTGCTGTTGAGATGAGGCAGGTGTACCCTTTGTAGAATGACACCAACAAAAATATGGGATTGAGATGCTTTTGGAAGCAGATCAAAAGGACTACCCTCTTCCTGAGATCCAGGTAACAATGTTGATAGTATTCTGAGAACTTGGGCTGTGCTGGTTTCTACCCAGAGGATATATCTGATCATCTGTGATTTCTAAATTAATTATTTTGATTTTCTCTCAGGCTTCTACAGGCATGGCTTTTCTAAGTTGAAAGGGTTAAGTGCAGGGAATATTGAGGATAAAGTTGACATATCAAGGTTTATACTTTTGCTTATTGCTTCTAAATAGGGACTTTAAACTATCGTGTATGCAACTCATTCCAATCATACAATCTTTCTTTGAGTGTCTACTAAGTAGCAGGCTAAGTCTAGGATATATGGTGTGAACAGAACAGATCTTGCAATAGCACTAAGGGAGCTAACAGCACAGTGGGTAAATAGCCAATAAATAAGTAAACAAACATCTAAATTAGAGATGTTGATGCTACAAAGAGAAAGAATAAAGAGTATGAGAGTACGTAATGATGTATATGATTGCCTAGATAGTATTGGCCATGAAAGTCTCTCTGACCTGCAAACTGATGTTAAAAGGAGCCAGATATGTGAAGATTTAGAGGAACAGAATTCCAGAAAGAAGGAACGACATGTGCAGAAGCCTTTGTCAGGAAAAAAACCTTGGCTTGTTCTAGAAACTGAAAGAATCTCAGTGCAGTTGAAACATAGAGAATGAAGAAGAGAATGGTATGAGGTGATGTTGAAGGGCACAAGAGCCATATTAGATATGGCCTTTAGGCTACAATGAAAAGATTAGCCTTAATACAAAAGAGAACTGACAAGAACTTTAGGCAGGAGAATGACATGATATTTCAAAAGAAGATCACTTGGGCCACAGTGTGGAAAAAGTTAGAAGGGATCAAGAGATAACATAGTCCCTGCCATGAAGGAGTGCAAAATCCAGTTGAGAAAAACATGTTAACAGAATTTCAGTAAGTGTGGTAAGTGCCATGACAGAGATAAGGAAGTATAGAGACAAGCAAGGGTTCCAATTCCAATATACTACCTCTACACTATGCAAATTTTGTGACTTTGGCGTAACTTATTCAACCTCTCTTGGTCTCGGTTTCCTCATTTATAATATGAAAATAATCATAGGCTGCTACGAAGATTAATGAAATAACATGTGAAGAGTGCTTAGTCTGTAAATAAATTGCAGCCCTCAATAAAAGGTAGCCATAATTAAAATTAGTGTTAGACACAGTATAGGGAATGGACTGCAGGGGGCATGATTGGGGTGCAGGAAGCCCAGTAAGGCATCTGTTAGAACAGTCAAGAGGAATGTTCACAGTGGCCTGTATTAGGATGGCAACAGTGGAAGTGTACATGGATTGGAGATAAGTTTGAGAGCATTTTAGGGGAATCACTTGGTTTCTGACCGGATGTGGACAAAATGTAGTCATAGGGGTTGGATAAATCCCCAGTTTCCAGCTTGAGTTTCTGGGAGGGAGAATCATGACACATTTAGAAGTGGAGCTCAGATTCATGAGTGAATCACCAGTCTCCCACTTCTTTCTGCGACAGGAATCAAAGATATGTCCAGATTGAAGGGGAGGAGAAATTAGCAACACAGGGGACACAGACTAACCAGAAAAATCAACCATAGAGTCAGAACTAAAGGAGAGACCAAGAGAGAGGCAGAGACAGAGAGAAGGGTTATACTCTCTCTAGAGTTTCTCTTTAGCCCTTCTATTCAGCATTTTCCTGTTAGTAGCTTCTCAGCTTGTTCTCCTTTCTTAAATTTCAGAAACGTCACAAATTGTCCGTAGCAAGCTAAATGTTCCCTCTCTGAGAGAGTTTATATTTCTGTCTTACCCAAAACAAATTCCCCCAGCCTCTCCCTACCATGGGGATTTTACATTTAATTGTCATCAAACAGATTTGGGGGAAATCCCTTCCTATCTCCCCTTCGGTCTGGAAAAGAGAAGAGGTTTTGGAAAGCAGGCCATGCAAATCTCCAAGCTTACAATAAACTGAATTGCAAAGGCATAAGAAGCCACAGAGAAAAGAAAGTGTGAACGTGACCTTTAGCATACTGTTCTGGCCCAATAGGGCTCTGTTATTTAACACAGAGGTATGAACAGAACATGCTGCTTTAGAAAATGAAACTTTCTACACCAGTTATGCAGAAACAAATACCCATGTCTCTAAAATGCAAAAGTGGAAGTGTAATTTTGGTGAGTGTGAGCTTTCTTAGTTCTTGGAATTATAATGTATTTGATGTATCTTCCCTTGCTCTCTCACAGCTTCATCATGGATAATAGATAATAGTAGAAACAGTGCCAATACTGAAGTCAAAGTGAGTGGTGAGAAGGGATGGGGGACATGTGTGGGGGCAGGTGTTTAGTTATATCCTGATGGCTTAATCTTAGTGTTATAAGTTCATAAGTTCTTACTATGGGATTAAAAATGTTCTGCCATAATGTGCCTTCCAGATGTTACAATGAGCCTCATTCTCTTAAGTAGTCCCTCCTGAGCAGAGAGAGGCAAGTGGTATAGTGGAAATAGCATAGACCTTGGAACAAGTAAGGCATGATAGTAAATCTCATTTTTACCATTTTCTAGCTTTGTTACCTCAGACAATTTACTGAATGTCTCTGAACCCCAGTTACCTGATCTGCACTATGAGAGGAATAATGGTACCCATCTTTTAGGATGGTTGTAAGAATTAAATTAAACAATGCATGTGAAAAATTCCACTGCAGATTCTGGGGTCCATCATTGATACTCACAACATGATAATTATTTTCTGTCTTTTCACCTGTGGGCACATGTCCACCTTCTGTTCAAGGTCATACATACATAAGTAAGATGACTGCTTGACTCTTTAGGATATATCACAGATAGGCTAAGTACGGGGGATGGAATATAAGGGGAGGGAAAGTGAAATTACTCTTTAAAGTAATAGTAGCTCATAATGTTGACTCTGTTTTATCTATGAATTTATCACTTGGGGTTCTGTTCTAATGTTACATTTCTATGTCTTGAAACAGGACTTAAAATGACATAGGAAGTCATTCTGCTACTTAGGAGAAGAATCTGAAAGCATGCCACTCCTTTATTTTTGTAAAATTACTTAAAATAAAACAAAATAAAATCAAGAACAACAAAACCCTTACTCCATTTGAAGAATAACCTCATTACTTTATTTCTTCCACTTTTAGTTCTAAATGCAATAAACATTCCTGAAATATGGACAGAAGCTATGTTTGTAAAATTTAGTGTTTGGGAGGAAAATAAATGATGAAGAGAAGGGTGTCTATAAAGATTAGGCACCTTGCCCCTCCATTTGAAGTCCCAGATCTTCCATTTAGTAGCTTATGGCCTTAATAAACTCCTCTCTGGGCCTGGCTTCTTCTACCTGTATTATGTGGAGGCTGAATTAAATGATTTTCCAATGTCCTTTCCAGTCTGAAATCATACAAGTAAGTTAAAGTAAAATAATGATATTGTTGCTCTCCTGCCATTCTTATTTGCAGGCAGCCTGCATAAATCCATGGCCAGATCTTAAGAAGCCCTAAAGATTACTCTGTATTCCCCATGCCCTACATATAATACATAATACAAACTACACTAAAGCATAAAATAAGATTAAGGAAATCCACAAAACTTTTTTTCCTTATGATGACTACTTTAATGAAAAATAAGTATTAAATCTTAAGTTTTTCCAAAAAAATGATTTTAGTGGACTGTTTTGCTGGTGCTCTAATCAATGTTCACTGTGACTATTGGATAATCTGCAATGTCCATGATGTCACATCAATACAGAATTCCCCTTAGACGGAGAAATGATCTCTTCTTTTCTAGATAATACAAAGGAAAATATCCTGGTTCAGTTTCTAAATTTATATATTACTGAAATTTTTCATGTAAATTTGGAATGAAACCTAAGCCAAGAGAGAAAGACAAAGTGCACAAGAACAACCAGCTACTGTGATACAATAATAAGGAGGTAAGATTCCCAAGCCCTGAAAATCAACTAGGATACTGGCAATGCAGGCTAAAGGAAGCAGGGTCACTTTTCAAGTGCTGGAGTGCCAAGATAGGAAGTCAGGACCTAATGGGCAAGGTGGCAGACAAAGGAGAGGCAAGGGGACCTAAAAGGTGAGACAGTATTCACTCTAATCAGGGCTTGGGGCAAGACAAATTTGAACACAAAAGCAGTAGTCTCAAATGCCACACCCTTTTGGCTATGGTGAGAACAATAGACTGAATATTTCAGTACATCCTTGTCTGCAACACAACTTAGGCTCTAGCAGGGTAGTTTGGAGACGATTTCATGATTCCCTAACTGATTTCACTAGGTGACTTTGGATCAGTATATCTTCCTTGAGCATCTACTTCTTCATCTGTAAACAAGCCCCTTCTAATTTTAATATTCTATGCCTCTGTAAGTATAAAAAGGAATCTGAATGTTGGCTAAAGAACTACTTAACTAATATACTCTTCTTTTCTTTGTTTTGGGCAGGGATCATAACTTCACGGCTTACTTTGATGATTATACTGAAATATTCGTGATGGGTGGCAACAGTACCAGCAATGCTGAGACTGACTGCAATGTCACTAATGTGACATTTCAGTACTCCCTTTATGCAACCACCTACATCCTCATATTCATCCCTGGTCTTCTGGCCAACAGTGCAGCCTTGTGGGTTCTGTGCCGCTTCATCAGCAAGAAAAATAAAGCCATCATTTTCATGATCAACCTCTCTGTGGCTGACCTTGCTCATGTGCTGTCCTTACCCCTCCGGATTTACTATTACATCAGCCACCATTGGCCTTTCCAGAGGGCCCTTTGCCTGCTGTGTTTCTACCTGAAGTATCTCAACATGTATGCCAGCATTTGCTTCCTGACGTGCATCAGCCTTCAGAGGTGCTTCTTTCTCCTCAAGCCCTTTAGGGCCAGAGACTGGAAGCGTAGGTATGATGTGGGCATCAGTGCTGCCATCTGGGTCATCGTGGGGACAGCCTGTTTGCCATTTCCCATCCTGAGAAGCACGGATTTATCCAACAACACTGAGTCCTGCTTTGCTGATCTTGGTTACAAGAAAATGAATGCAGTGGCTTTGGTTGGGATGATTACAGTTGCTGAGCTGTCAGGATTTGTGATCCCAGTAGTCATCATCGCATGGTGTACCTGGAAAACTACTATATCCCTGAGACAACCACCAATTGCTTTGCAAGGAATTGGTGAGAGGCAGAAAGCACTGAGGATGGTTTTCATGTGTGCTGCAGTCTTCTTCATCTGCTTCACTCCTTATCATATTAACTTTATTTTTTACACCATGGTAAAGGAAACCATCATTAGCAGTTGTCCCATTGTCCGAAGCACCCTGTATTTCCATCCTTTTTGTCTATGCCTCGCAAGTATCTGCTGCCTTTTGGATCCAATTCTTTATTACTTCATGGCCTCAGAGTTTCGTGACCAACTATCCCGCCATGGCAGTTCTGTGACCCGTTCCCGCCTCATGAGCAGGGAGAGTGGTTCATCAACGGTTGGCTAAAAATAAAATAACTCTTCAATTATGACTTTGTTTAACTATGTTCCCTTGCTTTTTCCAAAGGCCAGAATGACCAGCCAGACAATTTCTTTAATCGATATTTGGAAACAACATGAATATCTTGTTGTATGATAGTTGTGGTCGCAGGGGTGTGATGGTGGAGGCAGAGTGTGAAAAATGTGGGAGAGGAAGGGAAGATGGAATTTGCCTGTTTCTTCTTTGAAATTCAAGGCACTTTTTTATTTAGGAAACCTAGATCAAGTTTTTACAGGTATTTTCAACCAAATGGAAATTGGATATTTTATCTTAAACGTTTCTTCAGTAAATATGATGTTAGTAAGATACAATAAATACATGAATCTTTTATAGTACATGAATCTTTTATAGAACGTAAAAGTAAATCTCTTTCATATGAAGACCTTTATATGTGAATGAGAGGAAAAATATCCAGTCTTTCTAAGAGATAAATGCACAGGCAAGGGGGAGTGAAGATTGAAGCAGTGTGCATAAATTTTAAGACCCCAAATCTATTACTGAATAAAGAGCATGGGAATTTGTTTATTCACTGAAAATGTATTGGATATCTATTGTATTCTAGGTTCCCACTTTCTTAGGTACTTACACATGTAGGATCTCATCTGGCCGTTTAATAAACTTGTGGAAATTTCCAATACAAATGAATAAATGGAACCTCAAAGAAGTGAAGCAGCTTGCCTTGGGATAAACAGTGGTGAGCCAAATTTTTTCCTGTATATACGACATATGCTTAAGTTATTCCCTCTATTTCTGTTGTTGCCTTTATTAAGTCGATACTAAACTCGGTTTAAAGACACAGACTAAAGCTAAGCTACATAAGACCAAGACCATTTCTACACAATTTGCCTGAGCTTATCTGAAAAGTCTGTGGGTTGTGGGGATGGCATGTCAGGCTTCAGGCTGCAGAGTATCAAATGATAAATAGATTGTTCTAATACTGCCCCTATCTACTGAGTCTTGATGATCAGGGCTATAGAAGATCCAAAGAGTTCATTATTTCCCAGAAAATATATTTTAAGGCTTAATATAGGTCATACAAACCCCATAAAAGGATAAAGGAAAGAAAGCTGTAAAGCTGAGAGATGAGCATTCCGTGAAATTTAGATATTTTTTGGAATTGGTCCAAGGTCTTTTTTCTTAAACATTACTCGACTAACTCTCAACAAATTTGTGTATATTAAGAAGCTTCTCTATGAGCAGAGCTCACAGAACTGCATTAGAAAGAGAAAACATCACACCATGAATGAACTGAAGAAAAGTGTGTATCTTCCTTCTAGCAATCTTCTTATCTTCATTTTTCTAGAGGTTATAGCTATTATTTCAGAGCCATTATGGAGGATTTGAATACAAGCAATCCTCAGCTTATCACGTTGGCACTTATGAACCTCAGTACATCACTCTAATCTTTTATGCCTGCAATTTAAATAGCACAGATGTTTGGTGTGCAGGGAGAAGGGAAGTGGTAGTTCTCAGAATATCTATTTGAATAGACTAGCTATGAAAGAGGAAGGAGGGACAACTGAAAAAGGAAGAATTAAAAGAAAAAAGAACAAGTTTTCTAGGGAGTGAGAGTCTTGTAATTGTAAAATAACGAAACTGGTTTTCTTGTGCTTTATTAGCCTGCCTATGGCACTGGAAGCTTTCCAGACTTGCTTGAAGTTAAAGGGAGCGTTATCAGAATGTCTTGACAGCCCCACTCTAAGGAGATGATTTTGAAAGAAATCCATTTGGAACTACACATTCTGCTATATTTTGTGAAGAAAAGGAACCTCAGTTCTAAATAGTCACACTTTATGTTCCCTTTTTTCAAGTTTTTGTCAAGAGGTAGTTCTTCAAGTACAGGATTTTCAGATTATTGGGCAAATTAAATTATCTGCTTTCCATTTGGCCACTATTAAAGTGAAATCTTTAGGCTTTTTCTGATAGGTGAATTCTAATTGTAGTGAGAGAGAAAAAGATGACATCAAAGCAAGCAATGATTTGTTCTTAAATATTAAAGGCTGGGATGCCTTATATAATACCAGGGGGAAAGGTGACAATGCTTGGTCTTATGAGACAGCTCAAGAAATCAGTGAGACTACTTTAAGGTATTGCAATAAATAACAATTCGAACAGTTATCCCTATGCTTATCACAGGGACATGATGTGAGACAAAGAGGACAGCAAAAAATATATCCTTGAATAAGCTTATCAAAAAGTCACCAAAAAAAGCTCTACATTGCCCCAAATCTCTGGAAGACACCTGTCAAAATCAACTTAGAAACCATTCAGAATCTCATAATCCTCACAAAAGACTCTTTAACCTTCTAATAGCTTTGGTTAAAAAAAAGGTAAGGGATTTTGAGCAATATAATAACTTTGTGCAGCAATCTATATGACCTTACTTGCAGTTTATGCATGATTGGTTATGTTGTTGACTTTTACAAATATTAAAAAACTAGCACAGAGTACATTTTCATATTTAACATTTATGATAGATTAAATAGGTTATGTTTATGGTGTATATGGTAATTTTTATAAAAATATTAAGCCTCATGCTCTTATTTGAAAATGTAACTCCTCTATTATAAAATTGCTTTTATAAGAAAATTAGTTTCTTCTTAAATTATTTTGCATATTTTCCAGGAATATAACCCACCATAAAAGTAAGGTTACTGCTTATAATGGAAACTTAAAACCACATTCCTCTTTTAAATAGTAAGTGGTTTCGGTGTCCTATTAAGTCTTTAGATCTAATACTGTGCCTTTAAGTACATTGCAAATGCAATATGTAATTATAAGTAAAAGTATGCTGTTATTCTCTAAGGCTCTAAAAATTAATTTCCCAAAGTTCCAAATTTACCACCAATGAATAATTAAGGTACTTTGGTGCCCTAATGTTTTAATCATTAAACCACAATTTTATTTTTGGAACAGAAAATTTGTTTCCATTTTTCATATAGATATTACTTTGTCCAGGTAAATTACATGTGCAGAATTTTCAGTATACAGAATTGATAAAGTAGGAAGGGAACAACTGGTTTACAGAAACTGAATTTCAAATTGGGTACTAAGGAGAAAGACGGAGAGTAACAAAATTCCAGGAGATGTTAGCATAGACTAGCAGATTTCCTGATCTTCTGGAGTTGGGGGGCAGATTTACATGACTTGCAAAATTACATCTGAACTCAGTCTTGCATGATGGGAAAGTTTTCAAGTTTTGCTAAATATAGAGAAAGAGTAAGCATTCTTATTGGAAACTCCCCTGATCCAAGCGTGCAAAGATAGAAAAACTGGGAGGTGATTAATACTGAATATTATCATTTGGCTAGAAATATACAAGGAAGCAGTAAGTAATGAGGTGAAATTTGGAAGCCTGGTTCTGGTTCAAGATGGTGACTTAGGAAGATCCTGTACTTACTTCCTCCCATGACACATGAAATCAACAGTTATATATGGAACAACTTTCATAGGAAAAGATCTAAAAACTGGTGGACTGACCCCTTCACATGGGGAGATGAGAGAGGGAAGTCACATGGAAGCGGGTAGAAAAGGCTGAGGTGAAATCTTGCCATGAACCTCACCCCCGGGTGGGGTGACTCACAATCAGGTGGGAACTCAAAACGCAGAGCTTCAACTTGAAGAGTAAAGGGTTTATACTGCACATCCAGCACTCCAAGTTTTAAGACTAGCACCTAAAAGAGGAGCCCCAAAAACATCTGGCTTTGAAGACCAGTGGGGTTCATTCCCATGAGACCCATGCGGCTGTGGTGAACTGAGAAGGCTCTTAAAGGGCTCACATGCAGACTTGTTCACCCCAGGGCCCAGCACAGAAGCAGCCCTTTGAAAAGCACTTAGACGTCATGTAAAAAAGAGACTCATTTGCTAATTTTAAAGCATTGATCTGAGGGGCAGGGGCCTGTTGGAATATTCTGTGGGCGATGGAAGCTCGTGGGCACTGTCGTCCTGCTCTCCCTCTGCCTTGCTAAAGCCGGCAGATGCAATCATTTTTTTCTCCTTTCTAACGGGTGTTCCAGCTGATGGAGTCCATCTTCCAAGCTCTCTCTCTTCTGCCTTGGTAAAGCCTGCAGGTGCTATATTTTTTTTAAATTTCTCCTTTATGTTTTCTTTTTTAACCTGTCTTCTATTTTTACTTTTATTGTTCTTTTTTCTATTTTTTGTTATTATTTTTTCTTTGGCAGGTGCCATCTTTGCACTCCCCCTCTGTCTTGCTCCAACCAGTGTTCACCATCTTTACCTCTCCCTCTGCCTCAGTCCAGGGTGCTACTATTTTCCAGCAAGGAGCTTCTACACATGTCTGGCACCCAAGTTTTTATATCTGGTGACCTGATTTTTGTGGCTGCCACCCAGAGGATGCCCCTTGAAAGTCTGGCTCTGGAGGCCAGGTGGGCTTGCAATCCTAGGTCCCATTACACTATAACAATCAGAGAGAGAGTTTTTGGGAGACTACCACCCACAGGGCACTTCACAGATAATAGACTATAACATACCCCTAACTTTTCTGAGAAAGAGGTCTATTTGCTTGTCCAGGAGCTTTGGCCTGAGGTGCAGACTTATGGTTTGGCACTCTTATAGGAGTCTATGGAAGTGCTTCCTGGGAATGGAGGCTTGTGGATGCAATCTTTTCAATCTCTGTATGCCTTGCTCCAGCTCACCAGTATCTTTCAGAAAAGAGCTTATACTCTTCTCAGGTGCCCAGATTTATGCAGCTGATGCCAGAGGACATCTCTTCATCACCTGGCTCTGGAGGCCAGAAGGGCTTACACTTGTGGGTCCCACAGGACTGTAACCAATGGAGAAGGAGCTCTTAAACGCCTACCACTCCCATGGCATAGCAAGAGACAACAGACCCAGGAGTTCGGTCTTTCTTTGAAGGAAGCCTATTAGCTAATCATCATGACTGGCCTGAGGGACAGGTTTCTAATTAAACACACATCTAAGGACTGACTGTAAACCTTCCCTGAGAGCTCAAAGGGCAGCACTATCTTTTTGTTCTCACTCTGCCACACAGAGCGCCAGCATCTCTTGAAGAGGAGCTCCTATATGTGTCTGGTGCCCCAGTTTTCATGTTGGGTGCCCTGGTTTTTGCAGCCACAATCCGGAGAATAACCCTTAATCTCCTGGCTCCGGTGGGCAGGAGAGCTTGCATTCTTGGGTCCTGTGGGACTGTAACAATCAGAGAAACAGTTCTTGGCAGGCTTCCCCCCTCAGGACACTACACAGACAGAAGACTAGAACACACTCCTGGCCTTCCTGTGAGAAATGCCTACTTGCTTGTCCTGGAGCTTCAGCCTTAGGGGCAGGCTTCATGTTTGGCACACATCTAGGGGCTATAGAGGTGCTCTCAGGGAACTTAGGCTGAGGGATGCTATCTTTGTATTTTCCCTCTACCTCACTACAGCTTACTGATATCTCCCAGAAAGGAGAAGATGAAACAGTCATCTGGAGCTCAAATTTTTGTGACTGCCACCCAGGGGACACCTTCAGATCTCCTGTTTCTGATGGCCAGCAGGGCTTCACTTGTCGTCCCACAAGACTATCTATATTTGCATTCTTATCTTTTTGAGGAAGATTGGTCCTGAGCTAACACCCGTGCCTGTCTTCCTCTACTTTATATGTAGGATGCCTGCCACAGCATGGCTTGAAAAGTGGTGCCTAGGTCCA